CCAAAACGACTCACGAGTCAGACGCACTGTGTATGTCGCCTATAAGGCGAAGCAAAGGAAGTGTTCGGAAAAACGACCAATATCGCCAGGTGTTATTAATAAAATACACTTTTTTTTAACTGAAGCAACTTATGTATATCGGGAAATGATGAAAACTCCAAGAAAGGAAAGCAGTATTTAGCGCTTTCGCAAACAAAAAGTATTCCGAAAGCTTTATGTTGTTGGTGAAAGTCCTTTTTTGCAAAATTTTTCTTTTTTTTTCTGATGAAAAAATTTCGTAAGAAACATACACATTTTTTCATGAAAAAGTGTCGCAAGCAATCAAAATATCCGTAATAGATCATTCACATTTCACCAGGGATCATAGTTAACTGCTAAAGATATGATAGCCCAAGATGGATGAATAAAAATTTCTCTGCGACCATTTCGACAGCTAATCAGAGTACATAAATAGTTTGCCTTTTTCGCGCTACATTTGTTACAAGTTAAAATTAACAAATAAGACCATCCTTGGTGTTCTATATAAGTACATACATACGTATGTACATATGTAGCACTGCATATCTATGCATGACGTCATGAGGGTTGTTTAAAGTAACTACTTTTTCGAAAGAGAAAAAATATTGCCGCACATATTTATGTATGCACAAGCTGAAAAGCACATAAATATGTATTTACATATCTAAAATCATATGTATATACTAACATATAAATGCCCATATATCACTTTTATTGCTACCAGTGTTGCCATTTTGGTGCGTTTGGAGCTAGATTTAGCTCTTTATTTTTCTATTTAGGTCCAAAAGTTGGGTTTTAGCTCCTAGCTCTTTTTTAGCTCTTTTCAAATTTATCTAGCACTTTTTAGCTCCAGAAAGTTTTTGTTGTATTTTGTATATATAAGCCAAAACTTAAGCGTTGATAAAATGGAAAATTTCGGGATGCAGTGTATCGACCATAAACTCTGGGATCTAGGTTACAGAATTCAAATATTAATTAGAAGAAAATCCTTTTTCTGATAGCACGCATTTTGTTATACCTTACTAATTTTACCTTTAAGGGGAGCTGGAAGTAAAACTTTCCAGAAAAATTTTGCAATTCAAATATCTGAAATAACAGACTTTAGAATTTTGTAAAGTATTTTTAGTTCACTGTAATAAGTGCCATAGCAACGAATTCGAAATATAAGTATGCACCTTGTTTTGGTTTTAACTTATAAAATTCGTTGTTTTTAATAAAATTGCCGAAAATGTAAAAACAAGCTTACGTCAATATATGTTCAACCTTAACAAAAATATGTAGCTCTTCATTTTAGCTACTATTAGTATAATTTAGATCTTTTTAGCTCTTTTTTCGACCGTTTTGGCTCCAAACGAAATTTTCTCGGGCAACACTGATTGCTATCCTATTCACTGCCCTTTTGTGTGGTAATACGAATTGCGTTGCAAAGAACTTGAATCCCAACAAAAAAAAAAACACTGTAATACTAGAACGCTAGTCAATGTCGCCAAAGCCACAAAACCACCCACTAAGAGCGCACAAATAAAATACAAACTACATACGTCAACGATAAAACCAAAAACAATAACAACAACTAACCATAAATCGCAATGAATGAATGAGTTATTGATTTGAAACTTTGAAAATATGTATGTATGTACATTAGACTGCATCATCAAAAAAAGTTTCGGTTTTTCCGCCGGGATTACAAAACTTTTTATAATATTTTAAGACGTCAACCTAAATATTTCGAAAAAATATTAAGATTTAAGTGAGTTGGACCGATTTGAAAATACCTCCAAAAATGGAGTTTTTTATGAATAAATATAGTTTTTGAAAAAAGTCCCCTCAGATGAGAAAACAGATTAAGCTTAAAAAATTTGCATGGAAAATTTTTAAAACTCTTTTCAACGGAATTGCACGAATGAGATTTTTGATGCTGTTTTTTACTTTTTTCAAAGATTGATTTACGAAAAACTTGAAAAACTGGGCCGAAGCTATTCTGATTTAGACATATGGGATCTCAGTAGAATGGTATTTTCTCACTGTTTTTATTTCTGTCCAAAAAAAGTCATTCGTGTCCCATTTTTTTCAAATACCAACACATCTTAATTCAACTTTGAATGACGTTCGTTCATCCTACCTTTCTCTTTCATCCTTTGAATGAGTTTATTAGCAAAGAAATAAAGAGGGTGAGAAAATGCCTTTCCAATGATGCCTCTTAAGTCTAAATGGGAAGAGGTTAGGTTCAGTTATTCAAGTTTTTCTTATACCAATCTTTGAAAAAAGTTAAAAAACAGCATCAAAAATCTCATCATTACGATTCCGTTCAACATTTTTTTTTAGTTTATTTAAAATATTTTTATGCAAATTTTTTAAGCTTAAACCGTTTTGTTATTTGAGGGCAGTTTTTCACAAAAATCTTTAAGAAACTATTTTTATTCATAAAAAACTCCATTTTTAGAGTTATTTTCAAATCGGTCCAGCTCACGTAAATCTTAATATTTTTCCGAAATATTTTTGTGGACGTCTTAAAATATAATAGATTTTATAATTCCAATGGAAAAATACTACCGATTTTTTTTTTGTGAGGAGTGATGCAGTCTAATGTACATATATTTATTTGTACATATTTTTTCTATTTTATAGTTGTAGAAGGTCAAATGTCGTCAAAAATCTTTAAAATTTTTATTTTCATTTTCAAACAAGTTTACTTATATAAGCTTAGCACATTACATAACCAGCACCACATAAATCCAGATTTAAAAATTCGTAAAAATTTTATAAAAATTAAACTAACCTTAATAATTACACCCCAAAATTTTAAAATTTTTAACCAACTTCACAAGAAGCAGATAAGTTTGGTTTAAATTTGATCATCAGATCATGTAGATTTTAACGATAATCTTAAATTTTTATACGAGTATTGAAGTCTGTTTTGTTTTTTGCTTAAAAATAGCTTGTTATTAATAATTTGTTATAATTATTTCTTGGATATAGAACAATATTAGGGGGTGGGAGCATTAAAATTCCGACTTTCCTTCTTTTGTACCGCCCTAATGTACATGGAAAAATTAGATAGTAGCAGAAAAAAGTACGCTGTACACCTTCGAATCGAAAGTATTTTTGCAAGGCAATTTCGCAACAAATTGTATTTTTTTGTTTTGGCCGAACTGAAGAGTTTACCTTTTAACATTTTTGATCAAAAATACTCTACACTTAGAGATGTAAGGCGAACGGTTTTTTTGCTTGTTTGTTAGGTGATACGGTCTGATGTACATATGTACATATGTAGTATGCACGTATGCACATTAGACTGCATCACTCGCGGTACAAAAAAAATCGGTACTGTGTTTCCATTGGAATGGTAAAATCTATTATATTTTACGACTTCTACCAAAATATTCGGAAAAATATTAAGATTTACGTCAGCTGGACCGATTTGAAAATATCTCCAAAAATGGCGTTTTTTATGAGTAAATAAGTTTCATTCAACAATTTTTATTGAGCTTAAGGCCGTTTTTAATGAAAAACTATTGTGGAAAAGTAACAACAATTTGAAACAATTCGAAGAAGTCTGATGATGAAATGTGGTGATTTCCGAAATAGCTATTACTTCTTCCATTTTTTCAAATTGTTGTGGAATATAATTGTTATAAGGCCATAAATAACAAAAACAAATAAGTTTAGTTTCTTAAAGAGTTTTTTGAAAAAAAAAATCCCCTCAAATGACAAAACGGTTTAAGCTTAAAACATTTGCATAAAAATATTTAAAAATCTTTTCAGCGGAATCGTAATAATGAGATTTTTGATGCTTTTTGTTTAACTTTTTTTAAAGATTCATTTACGAAAAACTTGAATAACTGGGCCAAAACTGTTCTGATTTGGACTTATGGGGTCTCAATAGAAAGGTATTTTCCCACTCTTTTTAATTCTGTGCAAAAAAGAATGGATTTTTTTTTTCAAAAAGCTCTTAAAGAAACTATTTTTATTCATAACAAACTCCTTTTTTGGAGGTATTTCCAAATCGGTCCAGCTCACGTAAATCTTAATATTTTTCCGAAATATTTTGGTGAACGTCTTAAAATATAATAGATTTTGTAATCCCGGAGGAAAACCCGCAACTTTTTTGGTGATGAAGTCTAATGTACATACATATGTATGTGTAGAAAATTAAAAAAAGTAACAAAATTTTTGAATACGATTATTTCTCATTTAGGTGCTTTGGGTCCTACAAATGATAGAAGTTGTTCAAAATATTCAAATCTTTATAGCAGTAGATTTCTGTCTGCAACTGAATTCGTCTTAATAATTAAATTTTTTTAGAAATAGAACCTCATAAGTATTTTTTGAGCTACTTTCAAATGCAACAAAGTTTTAAACTAAAATATATTTCAAAAATTTTCAATTAATAAATGCCAGTAATTTAACGAGTCTTTCTGGCGTTTTAGCACATACAACTCTTGTGCAGTTTAGTTCAGAAAATATCTGACAGGTTTCTCTCGTCCTCGATTGGTTTAAAACTCACACATCGCAACTCCATAAATCTAATAGTAGATATTTAAAGGTATTAGTATTCGTGTAAGTGCATCATAGGAATAGAAAACCATTAGCTATACTCCAATAATTAGTTGCCGCTACCATGGGAATAAATAAAAATGGCAGACAAATATAATAACACCACAGAGGAAGATTTGCTCCATTAATATATCGTCACCTGCAATAACGTATCATCATCGTCACTGAAATGGAAAAAATCGTGAATTTTATTTAATTATTTTTTTCCATAAAACGATGTGGGGAGTTGTAATTTGATGAAATCTATCATAGCAATCAAAAAGTGAATTTTTAGTTTTTTATAAGTTACGACTTTTTGCATTTCAGGTGACGATATGTACATATGTATGCATATAAATATATAGCTATATATAAGCGATAGTTTACAGGCCATGAAACTGTGCAAATATACAAAAAAGTGAACTATGAATAAGCATATCACTCACCTTCACCGCCAAGCACTTTGTCCTTGCTGGCACTGTACTTTTCTGGGCTCGTTCTCCTCATACTCTCACCTTCTGCCAGAGAAATTAAATTATTGCCGAAAGCATTGAGTAGTTCTTCAATCGTTTTCGAAGCATTCTATGAAAAAATTAACAAAAAATTTCGTACTTCACTTAAACGAAAAAATAAAACTTATAAATCTAAAATCTATAAAAAAAAAATACTTAAAATTCTTTTTACACATAGAGCGTAAAATATACAAATTTCCAAAAGGAAACGCATCCAAATCGTCTGCAATTAATTTCGTGCATACCTCGCAGGTCGTCAATAGCCAAGAAAACAAAAAAAAACTACATTTTCGCAACAACTAATAAAAACAACAACAATCACAAAAACAGCAGCAACAGAAACGACCAGCAATCAACGAAACGTTCAACCGGTGATTCTTTGATTGTGAAAAAGTTGTTTTTGGTCAGTCAGAAAGTAAAGAAACGTAACGCGAAAATTGTGCGTTGTGTATAAAAGAGCAACAGCAACAGCAATAGAAAGAGCAAACAAAACAAGGACGAGCGTTAACAGCATTAGTGGAATTAAGGAGGAAATAAATAAATAAATCAACGAACAAAATGGTGAGTAATGAAATTAGTGGTGAATGCACACCATATGTATGTACATTAGGGTGGTCCAAAAATGCATGTAAAAAAAAGTAAAGTCGGAATTTTTATGCTCTCACCCTCCAGGATTGTTATATACCGAAAAAAGTATACCCCTATTTTTGTATTTTGAAATCAAAAAATATTTAGAGGTCGCTCAGAGCCCTCAAAGTTTTCTATGTATTTTGTAAATATGTTTTGATTTCAAAATAAAAAAATAGAGGTATACTTTTTCAATATAGAACAATCCTAGGGGGTGAGAGCATTAAAGTTCCGACTTTACTTATTTGGACCACCCTAATGTACGTACATGTATGTATATACATATGTACGTATTTGCAATTTACAGGCGGTAGAAAAATCCACCTCATTTTCCAAGCAAATCGGGCGAGGTGTTGGTTTTTTTCTTAAAATTGAAATTATTCACAAAGTTTTAATGGAGGCAGGCTTTTAGAGAGTTATGTTGCTTTGTTTGTTTTGGAATTGTATCAGGTTTTTGTTTCTACATTAATGGCCTTTTAGCTATTGTTTTTGCTGGCCATATGTGCCTTGCCAATTTGCATGTGAATAGACCTGTTGATTATGTGCTGAAATTTCAGCGAATGAATTAATTTAATTATTTTTTTCTTAGTATTATTTAAAACCAACTATGAGAAAATTATTTAAAAATTTTTTAAATGTATACAAATTTTGTAGTCAAGTTGCATTTAAAATATGAGGACATCACTCAAAGTAAAAACAAAAAAGCAAGAAGTTTACCATGGTACGCGCTTACAAATTCTACGGCTTATTTTTTTTGTTTTTTACCAAAATTTTAAAGAAAGTGCAAGAAAAGCCAGTCAGGTCGTATGAGTGACCTGAGGGAAAAGTGGCGGTGGTAGTTGATCATACGCCATGGCGTATATAAAAAAAAAATATTTTATTAGAAAAAAATTGAAAAAACAAGTATTTTTTAATCAAAAAATACAACCGACTTCAATTCTCAAATTTAGGAGAACCGTTAATTTTTTTCATGAACCTATGATCGGAAAAAAGCTGTATCGAAATCCGTTGACGTGGTCCAAAGTTATGTAATAACATGCATAAAAAAGAAATATTCCGACGAAGTGATAACCTTCTCCTTTTTACGAAGTCGGTTAAAAACAAAACCGACTTCAATTCCCATATAAAAATTTAAGATTATCGTTAATTTCTTCAAGATCCAACGATCGAGTCTAAACCAAATTAGTATGGGATCACCTTTGAGGTAACGCCTTTTATTTAAAAATAATAATTATAGATATCGGTTAAATTGGTCCAAAGTTATGCGGTAACATACACTTGTGATCAGCACATTTTCATCAACATCAAAATTTTGATCAATATCGGCTGTTTTTCTTTTCTTCATTTAATGTTTATTATTTTTCCATAAAAGTCTAAATTTTTTATTCAGATTTTTTTTTTAATTTTTTTGAGTATGCAGTTTAATAGCCCATTGAATTCTAGGGTAATAATATGCAAGTTTTAGGTTGCGTTGAGTTTTCTGACTACATGACGCATTTTTTTCCCATACAAAAAAAATATAAAAAATTTTCGAATATATTTTGTATGGAATAAAAAAAACCAACGCGATTTCTCAGCTATTTAAAAATTGCACATTATTACCCTAGAATTCAATAAGCTATTAAACTGTAGATTTTTTATAATTTTTGCACAAAGTTTGAAATTTGGATTTATACGGTGTTTGTTATGTAATGAGCTAGACTGTTAGGGAAAAATAATAAACATTAAATAAACAAAAGAAAAATAGCCAAAATTTATCAAAATATTGATGACTTAAACAGCTGATCACAAGGTACATATTTAAAAAAAACCGAAACTGACGAATTGATAACCTTCTCCTTTTTTGAAGTTGGTTAATAAATCAGCAATATTTTCGTTTGCATTTGATAAGCATATTATACTCTATAGGCAAATAGTGAGGCTTTATAATTTTGATTTAAAAGCGTTTGTTCTTTAGCTAATGGATCATTTTGGGTACAGTTTTCGAGTTCTACAAAAATTAAGTTAATATGGCGATTTTTCAATAAATATTAAAAATCAGAATCATAAAATATTCAACTGTGTAAAAAATTGCTTTCCGAAACTTTAATAACTATCCAGTATTTTGCATGTATTTGCATTTCTGTACCTTTGTTGCAGTCATCTTTATTAATAATTGCATAAACCATTGCGTAATCTCTTATAATTGAAGTTAATATACATATTAGGGCGGTCATTAAAAATGTCAACATCTATATTTTTTTGGAGCATCCTTTTATTTTGTTCTATGCACAAAATTTAACAATTTTAAACAAATGTTTAGGGATCGTTTCAGGGTGGAAAAAAAAATTTAGTTTTTAAATTTGCAAAAATTCAACAAAATTCTGATGTGAAATCTGATGAATTTGTTATGTTATAGAAAATTATTCATGTAAATTCGTAAACTGGCTAAAATCTTAGAAACATTGAGATTCTTTTTTTAATACATTTTTGCCAAACTTTGGTATTTTTGATTATCTTTTTAATTTTTTTTATTTTTTCTATTTTGAAAATTTTCGTGTATTTCTATTTTTTCTACGCAGCACAAAAAAAGGGGTAACCCATAATGTTAATATTTTAAGGACCACCCTAATATATATTTCCAATTTAATAACTTGTTTGGTGCGCCATTTATCTATGACTGTCAACTACTTGGCAACAAAATTTCGACCAGCAATTGATTAACACTTCAAAGTGTTAAATATTAAAATTAACACTGGGCAGACAATGTGCAATGACGAAAAGGTAGGTGAATAAACATGAAAAAACATTTAAAGACAAATTTGAAATAAAACTTGCATAGATAGTTGCTTAGTTGATGTTAGTTCAAACAATGCAAAGATAAATATTAAAACTAACAAATTGTTTAAACGAATTGTATCGTCACCTATTCACTGCGTGTAGAATAGTATTTCTATATAATAAAACATTGTTTGAAAACTATTAAAATATTAATAAAATTTTTCTGACCAACAACTAAAATTTTTTTTGTTTTCTCAAAAGCCGTAGAATAAGTTCCACTGTGGAACAATTTTAGGGCTCAATTAAACTAAATATGCCCAAATGCTGGTGGAGAAAAATTTGCGCGACTTTAAGTTTAAACTTTTTAGAATTGTACGCTGACAAACGGCAGTAATGCGGAGGTAATGCGCCAGTTCATGGGTTCGGGTCCCACTGCCGGTAGAATTTTTGTTTTTTTTTGGCATATCACAAGCAAGCTCCGAGTAATATGGAACAGCTTTGGATGCGAGTAAAATTAAATAGAGTAATATTCCAAGCGAAATCAGGGAAAACTCAGTAAAGAGCATTCCCAGACCCTCTAAAATCTCAAAACTAATAGTTCAAAATTGAGTGAGTAGCGTTGCCTTACGTTTTTGTTTTGAATCGCTTGTTTCTTTCTTAAAATAGATAGTAAGTACCAATTGCTGAAAATTTCAAAGCAATCTGGTTATTATGTACATAAGTACATACATATGTATTCATATAAAAAATGCGTTGGCACATGATTTCAATGTTTTTACTTTAAATTTTTATTTAGGCACTTAAATTGATAAACCAACTAAAGCGTGCTAGTGAAGTCATTAACAAACAAAACAAGAAGAAAAACACATTCAAGATGCAAAATAAAACAAAAAGTAAATATCACTCGGATGGCATTGTTTTTGTGATTGTTTTTTTCTAAAATTGATTACCAATGCGAAATATTTTAACCCGTGTTTTTTGTTATGGATTTGGTCTGTTTGCCGATTTACTCGCATTTGTTTGTTGTCTTCCATTTACTTTTCTATGTACTACTTTATTTTCTGTTATATAGCTTCCTTTAATTCTTATTTCTTGTAGGTATGCATATATGCACGTACGAATCTTTGTTATATATGTACATATTTGTTTTCCGTACGCTTGTTGCTAACTTAAGCGATGATCTAACTGCAATAAAAAAATTGTTCGATGATTGTAGCATTTAGTACAGTAGAATAGTTCCAATTGCGCTATATGCTGGCCAGCTGGAAGAGACGTGAGGTGAAGAAGTGTCGACATACATATATTTTCTACGATTTTTACGGGTGTATCGGAACAACCATAAGTTTTATGGACATGTATGTTTACGCGGTATATAGAATTTTATACGTTCATATGTATGTATGTATATGTGCATTAGGGTGCTCCTTAAAAATATCGAAATCTAAATTTCGTATGGGGCGTTCCGTTATTTTGTTCTACGTACAAAATAAAGACTTCCACGAAAATTTCAAAATTTTCAATAGATTTTTATGGGTTTGAAAAGGAGTAGATTAAAAATATAAATCGTGAAAATTTTACAAAATTCAGCCATAGCTGGTTGAAGTAAAAATTTTGTCGAACTAAGTATTGCGATAAAAAATCAATGTTTTCAAACCTTAGAGCGATCCTTATTTCTGTTTTTAATTTAGAAAATTTCGTGGATGTCTTTATTTTGTACCTAGAACAAAATAATGGGGTGCCCCATGATGTCGATATTTTAAGGACCACCCTAATGTGCACGTATGTATGCATGCTACTTCGGTTGCATCGATGGTAATAAAATATTTAATTGCAAAAATTAATTTGTAGCAGATTTTTTCTATAATAGCTTAGTAAGGTAATCGATATGTGCATATGTATATATGTACATACTTATGTATATGTCTGTAAATGCATTTGAATAAATTGCTCACATTAGAAGGTACTATTGAAGGTACATACCCTGCAGCAAAACGGGCTGGTGCATAGCTCGCACCGAGTTATCTTAAGAAGAACGGTACTGCTAAAATAGCTTTCGCAGTTCAAGAATTCGGAGGGACAGCTAGCTCGATAGATTGGAAGCAATTCGCCGATTTTGGTGGAATTTGAATTACTCGGGGGAATCGGGAAATGACTTTAAATTTTGGGGAATCCAA